CAGACAAAAACTAAGAAAAAACGTTCCGCTTAACTAATTTTATTCATCTGAATATCTGCATTTTTTTGTATAGAAATTCCTGTAATTTTCTTTCTTTAAATGTTTTAAAAATGCGAAAAATGTTTCGCTTCTCAAATAACTTTTCCATCAAATACTCGTATATTTTTGGTGTATCCTGAAACAGAAAAAAAAGGGCAGGAAAAGGTAAAAGGGACAACAACACAAATGGCAACCAAATTGCCCACGGGGATTGCAGTTAAGCAGGAGGGCAGATCCAGGGCGTGGAGTGCGGAGAGCACTCTCCCGGGTCCTCTGAACTGGGCCTAAGCCAATCTGCTGCAAATGGAAAAATAATAAAATCAAAAGGCCAGAAACCAAAGCCAACGCAAAACCAAAACCAATGCAAAACCCCAGCCAACGGGGCCGCCAGAGCCAGAGAAACTTTAGCAATAAGCCAAACGGAAAACTTGGACTCATAATCAGGCGGTAAAGGTCGAACATTTTCTTGCGGCTGCCAAAAATTGCAAATAACAAAATAAGGGAAGACAGCAGGGAATGAGTTCTTTCCTTAACGATTTGCATTGATTTCTTTGAGCCTTTTGGCTTGAGTACAGGAAAGGAATTGGGAGTACATATATAATACCTTATATGCGTAGGTAGAAAAGAAGAATGGGGATTATATGTGAGAATTATGTACATACTCGTATGTATATTCGCCCGAGAGGATCGAAAAAGTGCTGGAAAATGCAACAAAAAGGGCAGATTTTATTGTGTCCCAAAAAGGCGGCCTCTAGGTTGGTATTGGGTTTAAAAATTAGTCTGAAGAAATTCGAAAAGACCAAATTAAATAAAAGTAACTCATATTCTAAAATCTGTTGTTTTCTTTCGGAGCTAGTTGACGTATAAATAGGCCTTATAATCGCGTATTTAGGCTGTTTCGGAAAGTATAAGATTGGAAAGAAAGAACCCCCCCCTAAATCCATTTTATAATCCTACTTCCATACCTCTAATTAATCCACATTCAAACCAACTAATTCCTATAGCACTCGTAATAAAAAGTATCTCAGTCCTTTGAAGTCTCCTTCCTTTATTTGCTGCTGGCTTGGGGAAAATTATTTAAAGTTTTGCTTGCCACATCATTAAAGTTGGCCAGAAATTGAAATGCTGTCTGGCAGCTATTTTGCTGTTGTTGTGTGCAAAAGTGGATCCTGCCAATGTTTATGCAATCCTGTGGCCCCACAGCGGCAACTGCAACCGCAACAGCAACAGCAACAACAACATTAGCAACTGGAACAACAGGAATAACAACAACCAAGTCATTTTCTTGTAAAACATACAAAACATTTGGCCATTTTTGACTGCGCCTGTGCTCCACTTTATTCTGGTGCACAGCCCGATAGGGTATTACGATTTTACACAGATATATGTCACGCAGAAATCAAGGTATAACCGATACTATCGGGCATAGGTATTGGCAAGAGACACTCGTTATGGAGAGCTTCTTTGGCTTCAGGGTTTGGGCAGATTTTCCTTTGGGATTTTGGCTTGGATCGAATCCATATCGTCTCCAATTCGTAAAACATGGGTAGCCATTGGATCTGTTAGGGTATCGAAAGCCCTGCCCCACGTTGCTGTTTAACTTTGCTTTCTTGTTGTTGCTTTTGGCCATTGTTGTTGTTGGGCAATTTTGGTAGACAAGTTTTTGGCAGTTGTTGTTTTTCAATATTTGCTGCTGCTGGTATCGCCCTTGTTGTTGTATTTGTTGTATCTGCGGCTGCTTTGGCTCTCTGTGCTCCTTATCGACTGGGTCGAAGGGGTATATCCGGTTGTAACTGATGGCGGAAAAAAAACACAGATGTGCCATCAGAGGTGCACACAAAAACAGGGGGATATTTTACAACCAGTTAAAGTGTTTTGTATTATTATTTAATTCTCCTATAACAGATACTTATTAGTCGATTCCCCCCGGGGTGCTCTTTCCTACCATATTACCCATTTCTTGTGTATTTTTTCTGGCGTCGATTTTTCCCCCATTCAGCATTCGCACAATTTCCGCTGCCTGTCGTGTGTTTTGTGTTTTGCTCGATTCGCTACTAATTTTTGCCGCATGTTCATGAACCAAAAAATGGCTGTTGCTCCCATTGCCCCAGGCCACTTCCTGTCCCCACTCCCCGGGAGCCAGTTTCCCAGTGCCTGGCACACACGGCGTATGCGTGTTGTTGAAGGTTGTTTCGTGTGGAGACCATAAAGAGGGGATTACGCGTCGATAGTGGCTTAGTTTTAATGCCCCTTTTTCTGGCTGTATCTTTTCAAAGAAAGATGCATCTGCCAGGGTATCCAAAGCTTTGGATCATCCACCTGGCCTTCTATCTTGTTGTTGAAGTTTTTTCTCTTCTTGTTGGTGTTGTTGTGGAATTTTCGGGGTTTTTTTCGTTGACAGTTGGCAGGGAAAATATTAACGATGCCAGACACACATACATTTAGATTTGTGCCTTTATGCTTTTCCTCTGCTTTCGTTCTTTTTCTTTTTTTTTTTTTTGTTGTGTTGTGAAAAATATTTACTATAGTTTTACCGTTATTCTCGGTTGGTTATGTTCCTGTTTTTTCCGTTGCCGTTCGCACAGTTTTCCAACTATTTTTCCGTAATTGCGGCGCATTGTCATTGCCATTAGGTCTCTCTCTCTCTCTCTCTCTCTCGTTCACATAGCACTGTCTCTTTCTGTATTTTTTTGTATGCATGATACACTCGTATATCCGTAGTTTTTTCTCCCACAATTTAAGAACTTTTGCTCATCTTTTTACAATATAATTGAATTTATTTTTGGGCAACGTGCGTTTCAAGTTAATTGGAAGCGAAATTGACGTAATGAAATTTGTTGGTTTTTAATTGAATGCGAGTAAAATAAATAATAGATGGGAATATCATATCTCTTTTGTTTATAGATGTATGTTTTTAATAAATACTAGACAAAAAATAACAGCATTTCCCTTCAATATAAAGAGAAGTCTTCAACCATCGCTTAGCATGAGAAGAATATGTTCCATCTGACAGTTTAACTTTTATTTGGTCTGAATTTATAAGATATCAAGGTCTGAAATCTATGAAGACTTTAGTTAAGATTTAAACACACCTACAGGAACTGATTTAGGTCCATTTTTCCCCTTGAAAGTATGATGGAAATGCTCCTCTTTAAAATCTTTAAAGCATCCTTAAAATTCTCGGACCTTTCAAGAGATCTCCTATGACATGCACGCTCATTAAAGGAAAATACTGAGTAACACTCTACCGCTCTCTCCCCCTCTCTTCTGACCGCCATGTGCAGCTTCAACACCCATCAGCCAACGCACAGGAAGCTTCCAAGTAATTAAAAAATATACCCAAATTACAGGGAACAATGGGTGAGAACAACAAGGGGGAAACGGCAACTGGCAAACGGCAATCATAATGATTGCACGAACGTAATGCAATTTAATGGCCAACAATGGAGGCGAGGACAGTGCCAACTGATGGGCGTAACCACACTCGGACGGGGCTTCAAGTGTTGCAGATATTGGTCAAAAGTGCCGCCAATACTGGGCCGGACATTGAACTGCAGTCGGAGGCGGAGGCGGAGGTGGGACAACAAAAGCCACAGCAGTGCCGAACCCGTTGAGAGATAAACGCCCACATGGACAGCAATCCAGTCCGGTTCGGTTCGGTCCAGTCCGGTCCGGTCCGGACAGGATGAACTGATGGACGGACGGCGACAGACTGCGTTCACATAATAATAATGGAAATAATTTAACTTATTGGATTTTAATGGGATTACACATGCGCAACATGCCCGCTGCGGGTATTAAAAGTTGGTCAGCTTCCCGGACACGGACACGGACCCGGACCCGGAATGTGTCCTGGACCGGACTGTAATGGCCCTTGGCCAACTCCTGCCCAACGGAAATTCCGGCCAACCCATGATGATAATGATAATGATGATGTTGATGGGCCTCATCCACCCACAGAAGCGGGGAGGGGTCTGATGCTGATTTCTGTGATTGCATCCTATTGATTTTTCGTTTGCAATTCAAAAATAAGTATATAATTTGAGCATAAAACATGGTAGTGCCTTCATTCATAGTCCATTTGAAAGCCTCACACCAAACTTTCACTCTCTGCTTTCACCCTTCACTTTCCTTTAAGAATCCCATTGTAAGAGCCACATTTTTATATGCAATGCTTCGGTGTGGATAGCTTTAGAAATGACTCCTTAAATACTGTTTCGAAATACCACTAACCAAAAACAGAATATCCTATAGGCTGCGTGATGTTAATCTCTGATTTCTGTGTGGGAAAAAAGGCCTTGAGTTTTTCCAACTACGTTTCATTTAAGCCCGGAGGCCCTTAGTCTGTTGGCTGACCTACTCCTGGCGGGCATCGTTTCAAGCGTTTTCAGTTACCGTTCATTCGCCCGGGACCGAAAAAAGATTTCCCCCCAGTCGGACGGACGGACAGACAGACAGACGGACAGTCAGTCAGTCGTCATCGGGAACACCACAGAGCAACAACTACAACTGTAATAACAACTGAAGCATCAGTACAGCACACCGCAGGAGCCACAGCTAACCACATCATTTCCAGGCGCAAACTGCCGCCGAGAGCCATGTCCGTGTCCGTGTCCGTGTCCGTGTCCGTGTTTCCCTGTCCATGTTCGCTGTCCTGTCCTGTGCGGCGTAGGATATTGCTGTTGATGACTTTGATATGTATACTCCTTGTATCTGTCTGTCTATGCTTCTGGCTCTCTTCCTTCCCTCCCCTTCCCCCCCTCGTACTTTGCTCATTCTCCCGGATATAGACACACTCTATCGGAGTGTGTGAGGATTTCGATTTCCATCTTAGGAAGTGCCATCCAAAGGTATCCGGAGCACAAAAACGGAATGGAAACAGTATCTAAGAAGGTATTTGCACCTATAGGTCTTTAGGTTTTGCGGATAATACCATACGGTACGAAGAATACCTCGCAATCTCTTGTTTTACCTCTAAAAAATATAAAAATTTATTGATACAAATATATCTTGTAAATTTTGATGAAATTCAACAAGACGATAGGCACTGCCTTGGGGTATTCAATGGGTAATCTCTATCCGGATAGCTACAAAAAACGATCACTACTCCGATCATTTAAAGTTGGCCAGGTCCTCGGACAACTCCTTCGTGTCCTTCGACTCTGTGAGATGGCAGCCTAGACGACATTACTGCCATCATTTCCAGTGATAAAGGAATCCTTGAAAATAGTGGCATCTGTGCCGCCTCGACTGCCATCTTGCAGGACCGGAGGATGTATCAAAGGATCTGGCAAACTTTAAAATGGCCATTCCGTCCAGCAAGAGGATGTTTCATACAAAAAAACAGAAGCAATGAGTTCCTGGAGGGACCTGGAGGCTGCCACTTCGACCTTCGACGAGGGGGAATGCGAGAAAAGGTTGCGAGTCCTGCATCTTGAACAAAAGGCCCTTTGCTGCTGATGTTCGGGCGACCTGACAGCTATCCTGGCTTCGCAAGAGGTTTCGGGCTGCGACGAGGCGAAGATTCCAGGCTCCTTAGAAGACATGCCGCATGGAGTCAACAAGCGCCTGTAGCAGTGGTCCCGCGGCGCCTAAAGTGTCGCCTATATGCTGGCAGAAGCCTCATCAATTCATCATCATCGTCATTAAGGCCGAGTCTTGGTCTAGGAAAATGTAGTGCTTGGCAAACACACCCGCCATCTGCTACAGAATGAAACACGGGTTTGATTGCATTTGACCTACCTATTGAATACCCGTACATACCTGTACAAGCCCGACAAATTAATGTTGCTGTTCTGCAACTCGACGATACTTAATAGCCATAAGGTTCCCAGTACAAAGGATGGACCCGCACCGTCTGCTAGTTGGTGGATCGTCTTTCCCTTCATGAATATATTTCAGGAGCACCTCTAGTCGAAAGATCCGACCTAGACCCGAGGCCTATCCAGGCTCAACTAAATAAATATTTATTTCCAAGTAAATCTCAACAAAATGTCACTTTGAAAAGCATTCTATTCTCCCTCGAATTTGGATTTTATGTTTTGTTTGGGATCATAGTAGCCCACTCTGACATCCCCTGTCGGAATTCATATTCACGTCAAAGGATTGGGCATATTCCCTCGAAATGATGTGTACAACCATCGAATGCATAATCCTATCATATCAATTTGTGTTCTGTGTGGAAAAAGGTAGTTGTTGTAGGTAATTCTCCCCCGTCCGCTGTTCATTATCAATCTGACCGACTTTTGTTTCTGGTTCCCCCCTCCCCGCCAATATATGTACATACGCACTGTTGGCTGCAGGCTCCAGTAAGCACTTGCCCATTATTTTTATTGCCTTGCCATTTTCTGACCGCATTTTAGCTTCATTTACAGTTATTTGCATTGCCCCACCTGCACGCGGGCCCACAATCCACACCACCACGCCCTGGGGCGTGCAACCGCAAATTCAATTTTGGTTTTAGAGCCGGCAAACATTTTGCAGCATGTTTATGTCCGCGTGTCCGTGTGTCCTTGTGTCCGCTCTTCCATTGTTAGTTTGTTTGGCGCTGCCCCAAACCCACGCAGTGAGGACAGTGGAGCACCATCCTACGCGTTTTAATGCAATTTATGTGAAGTGTTTGGCCCCGACCCCGGCTCCAGCTCCAGCTCCGGTTGCCAATGTGACCACAAAACGATCTTTTGTGATATACATGTATAAAGTGCGCCGAGTGGGCCGTGCACCGTGGTGCGTGTCCCGTGGAGCGGGCAGACACTCGTCCAGCCGCAGGGGCAGTGCAGAAATTGGACTCTAGTTCGGTTTTCATTTAAACATGACCAGGCGGGCGCCAGCTGTCAGTCCGCCCGTGGCCATGTCCATGTCCGTGTCACAGTCGGGCAGATAATCATCGGGTCCAAGCGACAAACAATTTTGCAGTTTTGCATTTGGTCCTGTACACGTGGACTCGTATCCGATTTCATTAATAAGTGTCTGCATTGGCATTGGCGTGCGAAAGGAAGGAAGAGCACGTTTTGAACTCCAAATTGTGGGAACTCCTTTGTGATTTTCCTTGTGGCTTTCCCTTAAACAATAATACATTTCTATTTGCCAATATATTTGCATATTTGATAATCTACAGGAAAATCTACAAACCTCAGCAGACACGAAGCGGTGTGGCTCTCGTGGCGCCATGGGATGTTCCACCAATCCGCCTACATTATGGGTAAATAGGGATTGCTTTAGGGTCTATCTATTTATTAATTAATGGAAGTATTCTTCCGCTGGGGTGGGTATCTTGCATCTTCTTCATCTCCTCCACCTCTTCTTACCGTTGTCTTAAGCAGGGGGGCCCTGTATGTACACCTTTTGTTGGTATACAGATCCAGATTCTTGGTGGCCAGCAGCTGCTGACCTGAATGCATACCCTGTACCCTGAATGATTGACTGATAATTGAATGACTGACCTGAATATAGACGATTGTGAGCCCATTCTAGCCGGTGGGCGTCGTCAGGTGGCTGAAGGGTATGGTGAAGTCTCCTCCAGGAATGATTGGAATGCAGCTGCGCCCTTCAGCAACCGAATGTCAGCGTTTACATTGTTCTGGTGGATCATCGTTCTTCTACAAATCCTAGCATTATTCTCAGTGTATTTTGTTTTGCTGTCCAAGCATTCACTACACGATTGTTCGCATTATCTTCCGTTGCCTTCTCTTCAATTTACCGTTTGTTCACTGGCTGACCGACTGCTTTGCATGCTCATTCACGTCCCCGGCTGTCCCATTGCGGTGTAGGTGTCAGTGAGAGAGCGCTTAGGGAGAGAGACGACACGCTCAGAGAGGATCAAAAGCGACAAGATGAAGAGAGCGCGCGTTGAGCTTGTTCCTCTCCGACAATGTGCGTGGGCCAGAAAGAGAAAGAGCGACCTGACAATTGCGTCGCAGAAAAAGATTGTATTTGAAGAATGGTTTGGCAATGCTCTAAGAGTAGTATTTAATTGCATAGTTATAGTATATAGAGTCTGCCCACACAGTGGCCTCGAAGAGCACCTCGCTGTTTTGCAATGGAAATAGATCCAAATTCTAATGAGAACCCGACATAATCTTATAAGCATATTGGGATGATAGCTGCTGGCCCGAACATGGTAGATAATTGCACTGCAAGTACATGCTTCTAAATTAGATATCTACATCTAATATATCTTTGTATACCTAAAGTTTTGATAATAAAAAGCCCTCAAATTACGCTGATTAACTGATTCTTTATTGTAGTAATTGTGCCGGCCGGCAATTGCATTGTTTGATGCGTGACTTTGTTAAGGGAGAAATATTGTAGGCTAAGTATTGAACAAGTGTAGGTGTGTGGATCAAGCGGTTGGATCCAAGAATTCGTGTAGCAGGGAATCTATGAATCCCTACTTTTTGTCAAATTTAATGATGCGCATGTCATCGGCGAGGGTCTCCAGATCCTCGGTATCGCGGCGGAAGCGATAGGTGCCCATATCCTGGGAAGCGGACTCTGGCAGCTTTACGGTTATCCCCTTGTACGAGAACTCGGCTTCACGGGTCTTCGGTACCTTGAGTGCCATCTCGGCATTGTATTCGTCGTCGTCGCCAATGTCGACGTGAGTGCTGTTCTGGACAGTGGGATCGCTCTCACCGTCCTGATTCCAAGCATCGATCTCAATGGGCTGAATTGGATTGCCGTCCAAATCCACCACAGAGCTGGTGAAGGAAGGACCGTCACCATCGCTAGCTGTGGGAGCCTGTGTCCCTTCGGCATCAGCAGTGGCCTCAGGCGATGACTGTCCCTTGGCGTCCTCCGTGGTCACCGGATTTTTTGGGACAAAGGGGTGCTCCTTCTCGAGCAGCGTCTGCGATGTCAGAAAGCTGCGACGGAGCTGCAGGTCAGCTTGGTCCGACTGCTTGCGGCTCAGGAGGCTAGTGGCCAATCGGGACATGGTGGCACGGTGCACGAGTATCTTGTTCCTCAATTTCAATAGATTGGCCTCCACATCCAACACTGAGGTGAATTTGGTGGTCGAATCAGAAGGGCCTTCACCATCGCTAGCTGTGGGAGCCTGTGTCCCCTCGGCATCAGCAGTGTCCTCAGGCGATGTCTGTCCCTTGGTCTCCGGCTTTTTTGGGACAAAAGGGAATTCCTTCTCAAGCAGCGTCTGCGATGTTAGAAAGCTGCGACGGAGCTGCAGGTCCGACTGCTTGCGGCTCAGGAGGCTAGTGGCCAATCGGGACATGGTGGCACGGTGCACGAGTATCTTGTTCCTCAATTTCAATAGATTGGCCTCCACATCCAACACTGAGGTGAATTTGGTGGTCGAATCAGAAGGGCCTTCACCATCGCTAGCTGTGGGAGCCTGTGTCCCCTCGGCATCAGCAGTGTCCTCAGGCGATGTCTGTCCCTTGGTCTCCGGCTTTTTTGGGACAAAAGGGAATTCCTTCTCAAGCAGCTTCTGCGACGTCATGAAGCTACGTCGGAACTCCATGTTAGCCGTGCCAAGATCGTGAATGTTGAGAGCTTGGCCCGACTGGTTGCGGCTCAGGAGGCTATTGGCCAAGCGGGACATGGAGAATTTGGTGGTAGAATCAGAAGGACCATCACCATCGCTAGCTGTGGGAGCCTGTGTCCCCTCGGCATCAGCAGTGTCCTCAGGCGATGTCTGTCCCTTGGTCTCCGGCTTTTTTGGGACAAAAGGGAATTCCTTCTCAAGCAGCTTCTGCGACGTCATGAAGCTACGTCGGAACTCCATGTTAGCCGTGCCAAGATCGTGAATGTTGAGAGCTTGGCCCGACTGGTTGCGGCTCAGGAGGCTATTGGCCAAGCGGGACATGGAGAATTTGGTGGTAGAATCAGAAGGACCATCACCATCGCTAGCTGTGGGAGCCTGTGTCCCCTCGGTATCAGCAGTGGCCTCAGGCGATGTCTGTCCCTTGGTCTCCGGCTTTTTTGGGACAAAAGGGTGCTCCTTCTCAAGCAGCATCTGCGACGTCACGAAGCTGCGTCGGGAATCCAGACGAACCTTGCCAAGATTCTGCATTTTGATGGAAGCGACGACGACACCGTCTGACAGCACCTGCGGCTTCTTGCGGCACATCAGGCCAGTGGCCATGCCACATTGCGAGTTCAAGCGGTTCACGACGGCCCGGTTAATGAGCATCTTGCACCTCAAATCGGGAAATTTACGAATCATTTCAAGCGTAACTATTTTCGACCGTTTCCAACTTCACAGGGACACAAAAAAAAAAAAATAGATATAAAATTTACTCGTTTTTTACAAACAAAAATTGGAATCGGAATAGGTCTTGACTTGCCGAAAATTAGGTTTAGACTGAGATTCTGTGGAAACTACAAACCAGTTCCCACAAAAATCGTGCGGAAAGCCGATTTCAAGGCCTAGTTGTTTTGAAAATTTACAAAAATCTGAAAACAACAAAATGCAAGTCACAAAACCAAAGCAATCTTTGAAAAAGTATTCGTTTACATCGTAACTTAACAGAACAGACTGTGTCCAACGGACATTCCCTTGGGCTGGAACATGGTGATGGCTGACCACTCGGGATGCTTTTGTCGATTTCCCAAGCATCCACTGTACCTAAATTAATAAAACTTAGCTGAATAAATGAACATTTAAATGAATTCATTCATATGCACCTTCAATATATACAATTTCTAGTCATAGTTCAATTCCATTCACAGAGATTCTGCAATCACATTATAGATTCCTTTTAGAATAATACAAAACATTATGTACCCCTATTTGAGGTAGCATAACAGTTGATAGATGGTCATCATCGTTTGCGTTTGGCGGCATTTCCTATGGACTTTGCCACCTTCCGCTTGCCTGGGGCCTCAGGCGAGTCCTCCTCCTTGCCAGTGCGCGCTTCCCGATTCACTTTGTAGGCAGCACTCATCCGCTTGATGTTCTCCTTGTGCACCAGCTCGTGCTTAACGATGCGATGCGGATAGTCAACGCCCAGAACGCAGCCGTATTCCCGCTGGTCGGCCAGCGTGGCCTTCCAGGGCTCGTAGATGCAGCCATTCGGATACTTGGCCAGCTCTGGCACATACTTGCGTATGTAGTGGCCCTGGGGATCGGTTTTCTTGCCAAATGCAACGGGACTGTAGACCCGGAAATATTGGTGAAAGAAGGCCGATGCCGAGAGCCACATCCAGTTGCCGGCATTGAGGGCCCAGTCCTGATCCAACAGCAGCTGCTCGAACACACGCTGCCCTGCCTCCCAACTGATCCAGAGATCGCCGCGCGTCAGGAAGCAGGCCACTGCGTGTCGTGCCAGGTGGTGTATCCAGCCCTCCTGTCGCAACTGCCGCATAATGGCATCGATGAACGGGTAGCCCGTGCGTCCATGGGTCCAGGCCTCCAGATGGTCGGCCTGCTCCTGCCAGGGTATTTGCAGGCAGTACACATTCCCGAGCATTCGGTCGAAGTTGGGCTCGGCGGCAGCCACCGTGTAGTAGAACTCACGCCACAGGAGCTGTCCGATAAGGGAGACGGGCGGCTGAGAGTGCTTGGACTGCCTCTTGAGAATCGCCTTCAACTGCTGATGGAAGATCCGCGCACTGAGGCACCCGAACTTTAGATACGGACTGAGCACTGTGGTGCTGGGCTCCAAAGAGTTGGGAGCCGTGTTCGGCTTCTCGAAGCGAGCCACCCAAAGCTCATCCCTCAGCGACTCTTTCATGCGCCTTAGACCCTCGGTTTCCCCTGGATAATGTTTATCAAAATTGCGTTACTCTTCTTAAATTATAATTGATTTCTTACCGCCAGGAAATTTATTGGGTCCCAGTTCCTCTGGCCTCTTCACCAACTGCTCTAAAGTAGGACAATCGTAGGCATTGTCGTCCTGCTGCTCCACTTCATCCTTGGGTGGCAGAGCTTTCTTTACCAATTGCTCCGGTAGCTCCAGAACCTTGGGAACCTTTAGCTGGTCCACCACACTCAAAAACTTTTGATATGTTATCGGAGCCTTGCCCATATTCTTGGCAATGACCAGCTCTGGATTGTAGATCGTATGGGAGCAGTGAGTGTCCACCTTGATGCCCTCGGCTTTGGCCAATTTCTGGACAGCTGCATCGCGTTGTAGGGCGTAGGGCTCTATGTCTGTCTCAAAGGTCAGCAGTTCAACTCGCCAGCTTTTAAAGACACGGGGGAAAACATCCACGGGCTTGCCCCGCACGACAAACAAACGTGAGTTGAGCTTCCTCAGCTGCTGGTCCAGGTCGTGGAGAGTCTGTTGAAGGAAACGCCAGCGGTTGGCGCCAACCTGCATCCAATCGAGAATACCAGGATCCAGTATGAAAATGGGTCGCACATGGAATTTCTCAGGCGCAGCGTTGGCCGCCGAAAATATTTGCGTCAAGGCGGGATTATCGTGGACGCGGAGACCTTTGCGGAACCAGTGGACAAGTGTGGCATGCGTCGCATCCATGTCAGCACGTCCCCAATGCTCTAGAAGCGTATTTATTTGGATTTATTCTGCAAATTCAAACACACGGCCCGCGCCAGCTGTGAGAGAGAGCTGCCAACCTAGCCCAATTTTAGTTATTTACACTAAAAAATCCTTACAAGTGCATAAATCGCATTTAAACTGTCATGAAAAATAAAATAAATTCATATTGAACCCAGGCATGAGAACACTATTAATTGAAAGTCTGTTGTAAGACATCTTGAAATAATTATATTCTGTAATCAGCTGTTGTTTAATAAAAATACAAAATTTCATAATACCCAACGTGTTGGCAGCTCCGTAAATTATTTGGTGCACAAGCACCGGTTGCCAATACAATTTATAAATATTTTTACACAAATAAAACAACTAAACTAGCTATAATCGAACAGTTTGATAAGCTTTTAATAGTCGCCGGAGAGTGGTAAGGAGTGGAGTAATATTCAGACGAGGAGAGCATGCTCAATCAACACAAATTTCCCTGTTTTTGTTTGCGGCGTCAGGCAGTAGCCCCCTCGAAGAACACACAACACAAATAGGGGCAAAATGGATCTCCTCGACTCCATACTGAACGCCATGGATGCCCCTCCATCGGCAAGTGAGCAGCAAAAGACGCTTATCAAGAAGCAGCGGGAGCTGATGGAGCGCATGCAAAATAAACAAAAGGAGGAGCTGTCGAGATTCCGCAAGTATGTGGACGAGCGAATGGCCCGTTTTGCCAAGGACGATCGGGTGTGCATCGAGTTCCAGCCTCTGGATAAAGTGCACCGATCGGTCATTCACGAAATTGCGGAGAACGGTGGCTTTATAGCGATGAGCTTCGGCCAGGAGGATGTCGATCGCCATTCGGTGGTGTACAAGAAGGAGCATGCCCCCGGCGAGGATGAGGTGACGGCGCGTCGCAATGGCGATGGCTGGAACAAGGAGATAGCCAAAGAATACGCAGAACAAAGAAAAGAGCGCCTGGCTCAAGAGCAAAGCAACAAAAGGGCTTCCACAGCAGCAGCAGCAGCAGAGGCGGGCTGCTCCACAGACCCAGATAATACAGCGGGCGAGGTGAAGCCCACGACCAATTACAAAGCAAAGTATGCCCATCTGATAGGGGAATCGGCGGGCCTGCAGGCGGCAGGCAAAACAGAAACAAACCAAAGCTATGGCTTTGTGCCCAGTAAGAACAAGAAGGACATGCGCTCTATCGAACAAACTCTTGCCGACATACAGGCCAAGAAACGCCTAAAGCTCCAGCAACAGCAACAGGAGCAGCAACAGCAGCAGCAACTAGAAGAAGAGGCCTTAGAAGTCAGCCAGTCAACGACGGAGGACCCTCCTGCTGTTGATCATCAATGAAAGCAATACGATTACGTTTTAGTTCTGTTGGTTTTGATTAGTCACATGCAATGTCTCATCGACTGCCATGTAATAATAAGTAATAAGCAATGTAATTTGTTGGCTGATTAGGATGCAATAACTGAATGTTTTTAACGTTGTATATCAAGTGCAGAGTGTCCAATTCGCATTATCTATTTATATAATAAAAGCAACATTTTTAACTGTAGATCTATGAAATCTGTGTAGCGACCGCTAAGGCTTCAAAAAGTACAAATTTTCAAGGAACTGATTTCGTTTTTGCGATCTATTCGTATCATTGCATTGTTCATTGATTGCCAATATTTTGAGAGGCTCTATCTCTCTCTTCTGTAAATCCTCTCGGACTCCGTGGAGCATATAGAAATGCATAATGTTGGATTCCTTCGAAATCGGTATGGTTCTGAAAATAGATAAAATATCTAAGCGGGTCTGAAGAAGAACCTTATAATATTCCAAGTATAGCTTTTCCAATTTCCAAACTTCGATTCCCAACAACGGACTCGATGTTTTTAAATCGATATTGGCATTAATTTGATTGTATGGTTAGTGTTTCAACTATAGTGACTGAAACACGGTCCAGGTTGTGTAGGAAATTTACAGAAAAAATTAAGTGTCTAAGGGTCCTAACACTCCTTTTAAATCGAATAACAGAATCGAGGAATATGATTTCCGATGATGGAGAGAGCACACTTAACCCATTGTAGACCAGTGGATATTAAAATATACTCCACGAAAATTATGAATTTTGTAAAATTTTAGCGCAGGTGAAGGTGAAGGATATCAAGGTCATCATTTTTTAAGTAAAGAGAAAGGATGGATATACAACAAAAATGTACGAAGTTAAATTCAAGTTGATAACCTGTTTAAAAAACGGGGGGTTAAGTGGGCTAAGTTTATTCAATGTATTGTTATCGAGCGGTCACACTGCACACCACGTGTCGGCACTCGGCGAAAAAAGATATGAATTTCAAAAATGAAATGTTTCATTTTAAGATTGATTTAAAACCTTGGTGAAAGCAAGAAAAGGTAAGTTGTATGTAAAGAAGAGCATTCCTTGAAGACACCTTTAGAATGAGACATCTGACGTCCATGATGTTAGTTGGGAATAAAAAAATTACTGTGCCATGCGGACAATTCTGTTTAACCACAACTAATCAAACATTAATTCTGTTTTGCAGATGTGTCAGCCATTACAATCCAACGATTGAAGGAAATACTGCAGCAGTACCTGCGATTCCATTTGTAAGTGATCATTTTTAAGGACTGCACCACATCACGTTTTGATGTGATGATAAACTATGATAGGGACATCTGATGTCCATGACTGATTTATCTTGATAGTAGAACTGATTACTCAATCCTTTTAGTCCATGCTGCTTTTTATAAACAAATTCTAATACCAATAAAAATTTCTTTTACAGAGGAAAGTGTGATTTTCAATGGACACATCGTATCTTCTCTGTAAGTATTGCCCTTTTTACACAATTCACTCCACTCTCTCTCTCTCTGATGATACCTTTGATAGGGACATCTGATGTCCATGATTGATTTATCATGATAGTAGAACTGATTGCACCATTATTTCTCTCTACACATGTACCCCTGTCATGAGAAAATTCTCACTTATCCATATATTTCTTTTTCTTACAGAGAACCCTGGCTGGACACATCCGCAGAACAGTCATATACTTTGTAAGCAATTACATTTTAATAACTAAATATTGATACCTTTTTGTGATGATACCTTTGATAGGGACATCTGATGTCTATGATTGATTTATCATGATAGTAGAACTGATTTTTCCACTCTTTGTCTTTCAATATCCCTTTTATGACAGATTCTAATCGAAATTCATTTCTTTACAGAGAAAGGTTCTTTTCTCCATGGACACATCCATAGACTAAGCAGCTAAATCTGCCTTGTAAGTATTGCCCTAAATTTAAAATGTACTCTACTCTTTTCCTGATGATAGCTTTGATAGGGACATCTGATGTCTATGACTGATTTATCTTGATAGTAGAACTGATTACTCAATCTATTTAAGGCGTATTCCTTTTATAAATAATGCTAATCCAAATAGTTATTTCTTTTACAGGTGAAAAATGTGATTTTCAATGGACACATCCTAAGAATAGAAGGATTATATCTGCCTTGTAAGTATTGCCTTGTGTACACAATTCACTCCAATCTTTTTCTGATGATAAACTATGATAGGGACATCTGATGTCTATGACTGATTTATCTTTGATAGTAGAACTGATTGTACCACTCTTTGTCTCTCAATTTCCCTGTCATGAGCAATTTGTAGTTATCCAAATACATATTTCTTTTACAGAAGACCGTGGATGGAAGCATCCTGAGAACAGTCTAATTCCATGTAATTTGTAAGTACATGTATTTAAATACTACATAAATTATGATACCTCATGGTGATGATACCTTTGATAGGGACATCTGATGTCTATGACTGATCTATCATGGTTTAACATTCTGAATATTTGTTTTTTCCAGTCGAAATTACAGTATATTATAAAAAAATGTTTGCTTTTATTACAGACAGGCCGTAAAGGTGATAGATCATTGGGATTCTATTGATAGCTTCGATGCCATCTGTAGATTGATGTTCTCGAATTAAGACATTACGAATTTCCCTTTCAGATGCTACTGGGCATGCACAAATATATTTCGTACAAATCAACAAATGTTTCATTTTTTTGGTCTCAATCGAAACGCGGGCTGTATTTTGGGTGCTGCCAACTCGCTACAACGAACAGCTGTTTGGCCATTCCCAACAGGTTGGCAGTCTGGGCGCCATCTGTTGACAACAAGACTGATAAGGCAGCGTGAACGTCGCCGCTAAAATTGTGATCGTTCACTCCATTCATTTTCTCGGGAGATCAAGATCAACCAGTTCACAAAAATCCAAATATGCTGCCCACCAAAACGGACTCCCGTCGACGTCTCAACGTTGGGGGCTCCGCCTCACCGTCTGGCGACTACATCAAGGTGATCGATGGACAGACCGAAACGGATGGATTTGTGAACGAGCAGTGGATGGAACCGGAGTTGATTGAGCCCACGCCATGGAAAACGATACTCATCATCCTCATCCTGTTCATAGGCGGCACAGTGCGTTCAATTTTCGCCCAGGGGCCTCCTTGAGGGCCTGTCCGGTGACTCATAGCCCCCTTTCTCTGTAACTCTGTCTTCTTTTGTTCTCAGATATCTATTTGCTTTGCCACCAATCTATGGATGGCGGATATCAATCGAGAGCGTAGTGACCGTGTATGGGCTTTGTCCATTATTGGAGCACTGACCATTATACCCGGCGGCTACTATATGTACGTGCTCTACTGCGTTCTGCTGCATCGTCATGGCTACACCATGGACGATATTCGTCGACTGGGATAAGGACTCACAAATTTGTGTTTGTTTTTTGTCGTACGTTTTGTCAAATACAGTTTTATTGCATTTACTTTACACTACAATTATTCACACATTTCATTGGCATAATTATCTTAGATCCTTCGAAAAGGGTAGCAACAATTCTTAATGTTTAGTTCTTTCTATATAAATCCATGTGTATTGCCCCCGCGTCAATTGATTTTTGCAGTAGTTTTGCATTTGCTTTTGCTTTTTGTATAAAAATATTTGTAAATACGAATTTTTTATCAAAATGTATAATGCTTGAGTGGTTTTTTTCGTGCGCGAAACATTTGCTATCTATATAAATACACCACTTTGCAAGCCTAAAGCTGCATAACTCTTGATATATATATATATATATATATATATATATATATGGACTATACGATTTATATTATGGCCATTTTTCTCTATCAAGCATTTAGTTATAGTATATATACGTTTTTTATGTTTTGAGCTTAATTATATACAATTTATGCGTATTTATTACTCGGTTTATAGTTTTGTTTTTCTTTACGAACAATTGCTTTTGATATTACCACAAGCCTAGGGGTATAACAGAGCGGGGGTCAAACTATATGTGGGGGCAGCCATTACATATACACACACACACAAGAGACTCACGCACATAAATACATATATGTAGTAACGAAATTAAACTAGAGACATTAACAAGTGTTGTTTCCTTTCCAACTCTTTCGCCGCCTCACTGCTCAACAACGGTCACCTCTATGGGCGGTATAAACTTCCAAACATGCGCCTGCTGCTCATCATAGCTGGACGAGAACATATCTAATTGACCTCCGACAATATTTGTGGCGCTCGGACAGGAACGTGCTGACGGCTGTTGCTGTTGTTGCGGATTGGTGGAGCACTCAATGCCGGCCTTAAAACGTCCAGGCGTAAAGAATATCACAGAACAAGTGTGCTGCGTCTGCTCCTGCTTCTCCAGAATGGGGATTGCAATTCTAAAAAGGGAACTCAATCAATTACAAATTGATATATATTTATGTTTTGGTACTGACCTATTCGGCCCTGAGAAGGCCACGCGTGTCTCCAGATTGTAATTCTCCATTCCATTTAAATAGTCCTGATAGAACTTGATGCTCAACACCAGGTTCTTGAGCGGCTGCAGCGAATCATTGGTCAACTGAATGCTAAGCAGCGCCCGCTGCCCCACCGTACAAACAAGCTCGCTGTGCGGCTGCACGGGCGTGTCCTGAAAGCTAATAGCTATAAGAAAATAAGAAAAGTCAGAGATTTCAAAAAGAAATGTAGACTCCAGTATAACTTACACCACTGCAAGGGCGAGACGGCAGTGAGATCCACCATGGACTGCGACAAGACTATGCCCCGCAAGGAGGCAATGCCCGCAATATCGGTGCCAGTCAGCAGCCAATTGATTTTCACCCGCTCGGCTATATGCTCCGAGCAGAGTTTGCTCAGAGCATCGTTAAACGACAGCAGCTGCGTTCGAAAACAGAGTTCTGCAAAGGAATTGAATTGGGTTTTAATCCCACACAAGGGATATAGCACAATATATCAAACCTCTCTCTAGATTCTCCGCAACTTCGGCTGCCCGTGCCGCACACACTTGCTCCAGGGAGCAACGATCCACTGGTATGGGCACACGGCAGCTCTCTTTGGCCTCGATGAGTATATTCTTGTTGTCTGTGTAATTGAGCGACATCTCTTGAGCGGTTAGATTGGATATATCCAGCACCAGGTAGAACTGTGAAGCTCTAAAAAGGCAACAGGAAAATTATGAAAGCTCTTTTGATCGTTCCTCCCACTTACATTTCGGCTGGCAGGACATCCCAGCTGGTGATCTGTGCACTGGGCAGCAGCTCTAAATTAAAGGACACTGCACACTGACGGCAGTATCCCGCCGTCAGAGCCTCCCCTCCTGAGTATTTCAAGCGGATCTGCGCCTCAATGTGCTGCGAATACTGCGAGCCAAGGCTGGAGGGTCCTGGCTGCAGGCTCAATGCCGCCAGTGAAGGCTGCCCCCCGGACATGGTCGAACGGAAGCTGGATGTTTGCGGCTCCTGCCGACGATGCTGCGGTGAGCCAACTCTCGAGGGCAGGCTGGCATGACCTGAGACGGACATCAGGGAGGAGCCATAATCACCAGCCGCAGGACCACTCGAATGCACCGAAGACGGGGGTGGCTGGGGGCAAACGAAATCCGCCTCGGCATACACTTCCACCACAAATTCAATGGAACCCTGCGGCGGAACGGGCAGCTTGGCCTGCAAGCAAAAGGGAATTAAGAATCAATCATCAGGGACCTCTCTTTCCCACTTGAAACTCACCAGCAATGCCTCTTCATCTATCCGAAAGATCTTCTTTTGCAGCTCTTGCTCTACATTGGAATTAATGTTCACCTCCAGATGTTCCAGCGGCAGGGTGGCGCTCTCATTGGTAATGGTTATGGTGCAGCTGGAGAACTCTCCGTTGTACAGCGTGAGGCTGGCCGAGGTGACGACAATATCCGCACTATTCAAATTACTAAATGTGGCCGTCTGTGGCAGCGAGGTCTTGACGGATATCCGCGGCAGGGCTGGTATCACCTCCACCAGATAGTTGGGCGGAAAGCTACGGCCGCGCATATGCTTCAGTCGACAGTTGGACTTGACGCCCAGCGTGTGCGTACTGTAACCCTGGAGATCCAGTTGCCCCGTCTCGATGGGCGTGCCATGCAACGGCACATAGGTGGGCACATGCGGCTGCAGGACAATGGTCTGGGGCAGGGACTCGAACACCACGCCATTCGTCAGCAGTCGCATATCGGTGACCGTCAGCTCGAATGGCAGGGGATTCCGCAACCGCACACAGACCTCGCTCAGATCGTTTTGAACCCACAAGAAAGCTGGAACCAAGGAAGAGAACTGTAAGAGATCGATTCTACATCTATAATGCTATGGCTTACCTATTTTATTCTTATCCTTCTTCTTGTCCCTTCTATCCACGGAATTAAAGTGTATGGGCGTGAACAGAAACGGCCCGCTGTCTGCCTTGGCCACCTTGATCCGCTGCGGCCGTAAATGGGGGGGCAAATCCTTGACCTGGAAGTCCAGGCAGTAGGGCAGATCTGTGAGATTGGCGGGTGGTATCACAGTGCCATTCTCCAGCACCAGCGGAACAGGCGAGCCCTCGCACTGGGCGCTCAGATTCTAAAACGGAATTTCATTAGATTTCCCTTAAGTAATAGGTGTATTTCGTGGACTCACCTGCAGTTGTACAGCCATTTCGCTTTGTTCTGTGGGTGACATGTTGTCCCATTGGGTCTGCAGTAGGAACGTCATATGCCGCGTGGCCAGGGCCGAGTGTCCCAGTCGCCGGGCAGCCGTGATGAGACTCTGAACCAAATCAATCTGCAGTGCCGGCCAGCCGGCAGCATTCTCCAACACTTCCAACGGATCCAGACACAGACGATATCCTGTAAAGCTGCCCAACATCAGGCGATAGCTTTGATTCCAGTCCGGCGCCTGGCTGCCCTGCTGGACATGCTTCAATGCCGCCAGACGCTGAAAGAAGGCCGCCTTCCGCTGGTATCCGATCTGCTGATACAGATCCGTAATGATCTCGAATCGCTTGACGCGCTCCGGCTCGCTCATGCTCAGATTGATGTACAGAATGTTCTGCAGGAACATGGCCACGTCCAACGGACGATTCTGTTCGATGCAGATGCGCGAGGCCTTGAGCGCCGCCTCCGTTTCAATGGTGGCCGCATGCCGGTATTTGCTGTAGTTGATGATCGCCTTGCGATAGTAGTTGGTGATCTCCTCGGCCTTGAGTATGTTACCGGGCAGCTCCCCGTTGCGCTGGTTGCTCAGCGGCGCTGCCGATATTGTGGATGTGGAAGAGGTGGTCGTGGATGAAGTGGTTGGCGTGTCCGAGGCCGAGGAATTATTGCCCGTCGTCACCAGGGAAGATACCGATGAGCAGGAAGATGAGTTCGAGGTGAGCTTCTGTTGCTGCTGAACTGCCACTTCTCCATTGGCATTGGCGGCAGCGGTCGTCGTCGAGTCGGGCGCAGTCACCTTTTTGGTGGCATCGCTGGCTCGCCATTTCTCTGGCGTGTGCCTCAGCGGGGAGGTGCCTGCAAAACCCATAAAAAGGATTATATTTCTGACCTTTTGGAGTTGATTTCTCACTTACCCGCCTCCTGCAGCGACGAGTTCCTATGCAGCGTCTCAATCTCTCGCATTTGCGGATACAACAGCATGGCTGATGCCGCACACAGGCCCTCCTCGGTGGCCCCCACCCACAGGGAATCGCCTACAGATCTCAACGTCTCGTTGGCATTATGATAGAGACTCAGTGCATCATCGACGAGGCCCGCTTGCAGCGACAAGTCAGCCAGATTCTTCATCACGCGCCCAACGCAACGTTTCCGATTGTTCCGCGACTCCATGTCCAGGCCCACAAAGTCACGCTTCTCGAAGGGGGCCAGCAACAGGCTCACCTTGTCCGCCTTCTCCCGTGAACGCTCCAGCCGCCGCGACTCCAGCACCCAAAACAGAGCGCTCACAAAGTCCCCAATGCGCGACTCCAGATCCGAACATGAATCCTGCTCGCGATAGAAGAACGCCTGGGATTTAAAGTTGGAGGGCGTCGTATAATCATCCTGCAAGCGACGTGAAGCCGTGGACTTGTCTTCGCCAATGGTCTCCAGGACATTGGGATCGTCGGGTCCAAAGAAAATGGCACGGGATTCGTAGAGAGTGCTGCCATAGCGCACCTTCAGGGACTCGTGCTGGCGGCAGAGCTCATTCAACTCAGTCTGGTTGTCAAACTTGCCAATGGTGACGAGGCCCAGCAGGCGGCGATGTGTCTGAAAGTCGCCCCAATCATTATGCTCCACGGGATGATCATGGATGAATCGCACCCAAATCGTGCGTGTGTTTCCACTGGAATCTTTAAGAGAGCAAGCATTTATATACATTTCTAATGGGAGGAGCCCTCAAGCACTTACCATTCACTTTGATGCTGTTGACACGTCGCACTTTCTCAAAGGCCCGCTGGAGGATGCGTGCCCGCGAGGGTCCCACAC